ATTTCTCACAGGAAGGAGGAACGCCCGGCGTAACAGGGCGAGCCCATAAGAAGGAGGGAAGCCCGGCGTTAGCCGGGCGGCCCGACTGGTTATTATATAAACTACAACTTATAGGTATTCAAGCTCGCATCAAGGTTTGGATTAGGGCTTTCCTTACTGACCGTTTATTTGTTGTGAGAATCAACGCAGCAAACGGATCTGAAACTGGATCTCCAACCTTAGATGTTCAAACCTGCGTTGTCATTTCACGAATATCTAGATGCCGCCATATTGAACGTATTGTTGGAAGATGGAGAGTGACAGTAAGTTGGGGAAGATAAGTTCAACAACTATATCTCATAAAAATCACATTCCCATCACTACTGATACTTCATGGGAGTAAGTGGGCACTCCATAAAAATTAAAGACAAAGCTCATGATAATTCTGATAAAACCAGCTCAGCAGAAATAATGGAACAGTGCAGGATAGTGTCAAAATGGTGTCAGAAGCGAGAAAATCGGCGGGTCCTTGGAAATGTAATGCTTCAAAAGGATACTAAGGAAGGAAGCTGTACGAGATTGTGTGCTCATATCTGTTTGGGTATCACCTGCTTAAGTGCGCTATTTGTCTGCATCCCAACGCTTCATTGTGGGTGTGCGGCCTCTAGACGGCTCACCTCATGACACTGCCACACTTGAGTGTGTACTCAGGTTTTGAAGCCTTTAAAACGCCTTGTCGTGGTCGTTCTTCGACTCGATAATGTCCTAAGAGCTATCTTTGGGGACCACAGGTTCATCCTGGATGAGAGTCATGGCAATTACTTTCTCATGTGCTGTACCTTTGAATCAAAAAATGACAAACTTTTACCTTTTGGATTACGGTTGTTGATTATATCTGAAGGGTGTAATGGGTATGTTCGAAAAAGTTCCCGACGAGGTGAATGGAAGAGGGGATCTGGAACGACTTCACACGTAGTAGTGCGGCTCTTGCCGTACGTTTGTTAGATAGTGTCCCTCGTACAAGAAGGGTATGAATAGATCCTAGTACAAGCTTGGATCAATTCCCATTATTGACAATATGATTTTTGATGCCTGATAAGTTGTGCGTTCATAGCAATAATGAGTAGGGCAGATGAAAAACACGTTTGCCAAGCGTTTTTTTAGACAATTGCTTCTGTATCGCCCAGCTTTCTCCAAATAGCCATGTACAGCTGAAATATTCGACCCATAGAGAGATATAAATAGGAAATGACGGAGGGAAAAGCCACAAAACTGAGTTGCTTCCCAGGAAGGAATCCAGCACTGCGAATGTGAACAATATTGTAAATTTTGTTCATCATCGTAGTGCTGGTTCCCTTTCAAGGAATGTTGACGCTCAAGGTCAGTGCTAACGATCACTTTCGGAGCACACACGCTCCACAACATTCTAGCCTTTTGATAGGAACTGAATTCCTTCCCCTACTGCTTCTTGTCCTTCGATAACTTTTAGTTCATTTCTCCTAAGCGTTAATCCTGCGCCTTCGCACAGATCACTGTTCTTGTATGTTTTTTCCAATTTCTTTCATCTTCGTCATTTTCTGGGGTTACTTTGTTTTCGAAGGGGTCCGGTCAGTTCTCGCTATCACTCCGTTGAAATCCTTGTGGTCACCTCTTCTGATCGTCGAATTCCATTACCTCTTATCTTTACCTATATAGCGAATGTTTGCATGACCACCTTGACGTTTTCTTTCCCAACTTTCTCCAATCGTGTCTAACGGCAAGTTTATTTGAGCTCACATTCCATCGGAGTGAAGTTGCCTCCCATAACCATTACCTATGGGCCAGGGGTGTGCGAACGAATTTTCGATCGCACCTAATCAAGCTCGCCTCGCACCTAGGCGCGAAGTGACCTTAATTAGGTGTGAAGACCACGCCATAATTATTCTGCCAGCACTCGCTACTAATCAAGTTAAAACTTGTCAACTAAAGAGGATAACAACAGTTTGGAAAAATGGAGTTTCTCTTTAAAAATTGAGTTTTTTGAAAGGAAAAATTCCAATATCAGTTTCAACAGTTTTGAGAGTTCCATTCACGCGCATAATAAATAAGTTCAATATTTTTCATTTCAAGCTCCTGGATAATGGGTAAAGCAGTTTAGTTCACTTCTTTTTCCAATATTTTCGCTAATTGAAATCAAACAACCTCTACAGAAGCGATGTAGTTCTCTAGAGTTGTTTAGTATTGGCATTACTCTTCATTGAGAGATCATTGAACGCCCTACAGCTCACCATGCCTGTAAATAAAACTCTCAAAACCGTTGAAACTGATATTAGGACTTTTTCTTTGAAAAAAGAACATTTTTTAATAAAATGTCCATTTTTTTAAACTGTCATCATCCTCCTTAAATGACAAGTTTTAACTCGATTAGTAGCGAGTGCGGGCAGCGTAATTACAGCGGATCTTTGCACCTAATTATGGTCACTTCGCGCCTAGATGCGAGGCAAGTCTGATTAGGTGTGATCGAAAATTCGTTCCCGTACCCATGGGCCAGCAATGGCAGCCGTATAGCATCTCGGGCCTCATCGCGAGAGGTCACCTGTAGTCGTGCACACTTTGGATGGATTCTTGCGTGGTTCCGTGGGCTCCTCGAAGCTGTAAAATTCGGCCTTCATGTTCAGCCGAAGCCTATCCATCGCCATTAACTTCATCCATTTCTGCAGCTTTTCCCATAGTTCTTCTCGACTTTTCGCTATCAGAGTTACAGTAGCACTCAAAAGTCTTTGGCGAAATGGTTCTTCAGAGCCGCACTTTTCAGTCGTAACTCCTTTCCTACTGGATCTAATCATACGAAATTTCTATATTTGGAGCGTGGTTGTATTGTGAGCATTTAGCACTACTGACCTGCAGTCTGATCATCTTCCAGATATTCCAAAGAGAATACAAAATCGACTGAAATTACAGATGATGGCCCTTCTAGAATCTCTTTCCTTTTTGTCATGTCTAAAGTGCACGAACGGTAATGCCGAACACAATAGATGGGAAAAAGCACATAAGGTGAGAATAAGTGCAGACTTCAACAACTTTAGTTTCAGCCAAATCTGCTACCGCTAGTTCTAGTTAAACATATCAAATTTCCGCGCGATTTGGTCTACTAAGAAAAAAGTTATGAACGAAAAAGCGTCAAAGCATTTCACCGAAGACTTTTGAGCGTTACTGTATGTCATCAACGTAGAAGATGGACTTCATTTGATTATCCATGAATTGTTCTGTGTTGGCATCCAAGGTAAGCAAAAGGAGGAACGGATTCAGAGCCCAGTCTTGTTGCACCCGAAATGTGACGTCTATTGCTCTTTTGGTAACTTGGAATATGTAGATTGAGCAATGTCTACGCTTTTCTCGGTACTTCTCTATTATTTATCAAGCTGAGAGGATGGTCTACCTTGTAGATGTTTTGGCATAAAGCCGGTTATTATATGCTGTGAAATCGAGAGAGGTTCCCTCAAACTCAAGAGGAACTTAAGTGTACTCATCACTGTACATTTTCATCGTGCGCGCAGTCAACTTGATCTCATGATAGGTGAAACAATCCACGGCGCCCATTCTGCTTGGAAGCTGGAACTGTAGGCTAAATGCCCACGGATCAAGGAGTCTTCTATCAGCAGTTACATTATTCAGGAACCGATTGAGCCGTAGAATCCAAATATCACTGTGCCCTTGTAGCGGAAGTGTTTTTTAAAATTTGTACAGAGAAGAATCTCTCATTGTTGACAGCTGGTTCTATTATTCATACATATTCTTAGATTTTAGTTGTCTTGTCAGTTTATCCGCCTTGAGCGCCTATAGAGGAAGTGCAGGAGTCTACAAGTGCAAGAGTCTACAAGAGAAAGAGATGTTACTGCTCTAAAGCTCCGAAATGAATCCTCAAGAGCTTTGAATGGAGGTGAAATTAGAGTAACGGAGGAATACGTGCAACACCAAAGGCCCTTTAGGATAAATTTGTGCTTTGCGATTGCCATGCTGAGACTGACCGGCGGTCATACGATCACAAATCAGGGCTTCTACTGTCTACCAAGCTTCTCGGAAGTACATGAATCTTGCTAAAAGACCTAGTTCTCTTCAGTAGTACTCCATATATAATGTGAGTGGTTCTAGTAAAGCTGCTTTTCCAACGCACGTCGTTGAACTCTGACAGCTCCTGACTGGCATAGTCCAGAGTAAGGACTGGTCCTGAAGCGCCGGCCCTGCGTCGGCAACACCAGCCGTCAGTCCATACTGCACGTGTCGGTGGCGAATATTTCCTTGAATTAGAGTTTTCATTAGCGTGTTATTCTTTTTTCCAATTTTTTTAGTGTATTTTGATCCGATATTCTCTTCCTCGACTACCATGGTGTTGTAGGATAGAAGCCATTATAAAAGAGCTTTATGCAACTCTGTCGGGAAAACTTCGTGTGGGCACACAGCGCTCAACCCTTAATGCTGTAGTCTGGAAGCGTCTAATGATTTCCATGTCCGACAATACGCTCAATCAAACATCATCGAACTCTAGATGGAGGATCTTAGTGAAAAATCTAGAAAGTAGGTCGGACAACAAAGTCTGAGAGCTCGTCCATCAAGTCAGGTTTAACCTTTCGTCTGATAGCTCGAACGGCTAATATACTTTACGAAGGCTATGGAGAGAAAAGAGTAATAGTGGCAGATTGTGAAGCAAAAAGTTTAATTCTTCCATAGTGATAAGAGTACTTCTTTTATCACGATAATTTGAGTAAAAGCTTTCAATCTGTACACTCTGCTCAGGTTGGGGATACGATTTTTGGGTGTCTTCAGGTCAGGACGTCTGGAGTGTCTGCTTTAGGCTTCTATTCTCCACCGTTTGCTTTTGAAAAGCGGTCAAAGCCTTACTGTAGTTTGTAATATGATTGGTATAACTGATATTTTACTAAAGGTGCTATCAGACATTACAAGCCAATTGTGACAAAGAAAAATCTTTGTCTAAACATATATAAGCGAGTGAATGTGTACAGCTCCTTCCATTCCAATGGATCTGATCTCGTTGCTTGGTATACGCTCATTGAATTCGTGAAAAATAACTCCATTCACGAGTGTCTAAAAAGGAAACGCAGTTCTAGATCTTGCCCATTTGATTTTCTCGAATTTTTCATTTCTTTACCTGAATTCGGTTATCAAGTCCTACAAACTCGATGGTATAAACTCTCCCCTGGTGAAAAGGCAATGACACTCTTTCTTCGTTCTGCCAGTTATCACCAGATGTTGAGTTGAAAACAACTGTGTCCTCCTTAAATAGAAGCTAAACAGAAGCTGGAGGAACAATCAACTTCCCAGCTGCTGGTAGAAACGAATTCTTACTTGGGCTTTGCAAACTTTTCAAAATGGGAATCGCTTCATATAGTTTTTTTTCACACTTCGTTCATTTTGCCTGAGGGTGTTCATAATGGATAATAATTCTGCTTAAAATGTATCCACCTCTCAATGTACCAAATACATAAATAAATAAATAAACGATCATGGATGCGTCACACTTTGCCTCTCACTTCTGTTTGAACGAACCCACCTTTTTTTGATACTTCGAGATAGCCTTTTATCAGCAGTGAGATCAGCACAAAGCAAGAAACGTATTGTCAGAATTCTGACGAACATGCAAAACCAGCAAGACCCTGATAATACACAAAAGCACCTGGTCCCGCTCTTTTGCTTCCACCAAACAAGACCTGCTCATCCTCCTAGTTATTACCAAACTATGTTCCTCACTTACAATTAATCACTGACATAGTTGTTGGGAATGAAACCCGTCAGAATTCCGTTCTGCACTCTCTCTCGACCTCTCCTTTGTTAATGAGCAAAATGTTCGTTTCATATGACCAGGAAACAGCCACGTATAACATTAAACGAATCCGATGTGTAATGAAAAACTCAAATGTTGTTCGATACAATTCGTTCCTGCAGTACTCGGAAGGATGAGTTCTCCTGACTAAAAGACTTTCAAGCCATTGCAGTTCATTGGGCTCTATTTGCGTACTGCAGAAAGTAGAAGTCATTAAAGCCCTCTCATGGAATCGATGATAATAGAGCCAATTCCAGAGGAACTACTGATAAGGCAGAAGATGAATGGAACTTCAAGACATACTTTTTACAATGTCACAACTGTTCAAAGCAATCTATCCAAGACATATATAAAAGTATCAACATTTTGTAATCCATTAGTAAGGAGCCTAGAATGGTTCTCGCATCGGATTAGGAAGGAATTGACTCGCATTCTGACTGAGGACACTAAAGATTCAAATTACGGTCTCACCTCTACTTCAATATGCTTTCCGCTTCTTTATTGTTTTTTGCCCGTGCACCTTTGCAAAATATAGGAGAAACAGAGCCTAGTAAACTTTCTCCAAGAAAAATCAACTCACATTAAATCGTGGATTGAAGTGCATCGCAATGTCAGATGGAGTGCGGAGATTAATCTGAACCAACACAATCAACAAAACAAGAAGTGAAAATCCCTAAGATTGATCGAAACTTTTTCTTCCAACAGCATGCTCGAGTTCTAAATCTATTAAGAATGCTTCTGGATATTATTTAGCATACACGGTGACTTTCTGAAGATCAGACGACCTACAAGCAGGGCCTATTCCGGCAGCTATTTCAGACCGGAATATGGTATCAAGCTCATGTGTGATAGTGGATCACCTCCATTCCCACATCCACTACTGACCATGAGAGACAGTATGTAAAATTCATCGGATTGAGGGAAATGAATTAGAACTTGCCGCGAATCGATCGCCTTCGGGGAGTGGAACAACGACTACTCTGAAACGTCTTCCGTTGTTGAAGTCAGGCACCATAATATGATTTGGAGTATCCTGAAAAGAAAATGAAACACCTCAAAAAGCACACAGACACTTTTACATGGATTGCTTACGATATTGAACGCTTCAATGGAGCTGCTGGTTGCTCCTCCATACATGTCGTCCTGAATCTATAAGGGGTAAGAATAATTGTGCGAGCATTTTCAGAAAGACCACTCACACCATCTTCGGGAATTTCCACAGGCAAGACACCTTTCAGCATACCATCGCGAATCATGGCACTTTGATTCGGAATTTTGTATAAAAGGTATTCGCAAGGTAAAATATGGAAACAAATGGATTACAAAGTAAATGGAAGCAGCAATCAAATCAGTGAAGGGTAGCGATGAAAGTGTTTCTTTTTGAACTAATATCATACCACATACTACCTTATCTGTGAAAGCAGATTGGTACAAGAAGTCTCCGATAGTGTTTTCCTTGTCGGGCTTTGTTATTATGAAATCGTTAAAAGTGAATAAAAATAAATGTTTATGTTTCGAAAAGTTAGCTCAGTTAGCAACGCATTTGAGGTGCCCTTTTNTTTTGAGTTGAAATGTGGGTGTTTGCAATCATTGAGGGTGGGGCAAGAAATTCACGTTGAAATCCGTGACGTTCGCGAAAAGTTTGGCTTGGTAAAAGTAGTGGAAATAGTCCGTACGTGATTATGGTGAAGGGAATAGTACGAGAGGTGAGGAACTGATTACATTAAGCCAGAAATGTTCAAAGCTGTCGTCCATTGTCGCCATGAGTCACTTCAAGTAGTTAGAATTTCCAACATGGGTACTCGTTGTGAATGGTGAACCGTTGAGACTCGCCCGCCTCTGGGCGTGTAATATGGCAGATACAATTCTTGAGCTCGCATAATGTCTATTATCTATTCTATATTCCGATCTGACAGCGCTGCGTACGATTTGCGAGGGGCAACAGATTTATTTTAGGAGGGATACTCTGAGGGCGTTTTTAACGTGAGCTGTGCATTTAATGAAGTGGTTGAAGTCATTCCATTTAATGGGCTTGGGAATGAAAATGATTGCTGATTGTATAAGTTATCAGGTATTGATTTGACGGGCCAACGAGCCCCTTCTGACACCTTTGATATGCAATTCTATTTACATAGGCCCATATGTGCGCATGTAAAATTGTTTCGTAAGTCGCAGAGCACTTTTTTCACATTCAAAGAAAAACTAATCAGAAACATTATGCAATGGAACGTTTTACCATAATCGCCCAGTGAGCCCTTTCAAACGCTAACTGTACACTGACCTTGTAGCAGCTCAAAAAAGAACAGCAATGACCTATGGGTATTGCCACATCTGCTCGGAGATATCATAAACTCTGACCATGGGCCCCTGGGTTTTTTTTATACACTGATACTGCTAGCAAGAGGGAAGGAGAATGTTTTTCGTAGGTGCCGGAACCCATCCAAGACGAAACCCAATTTCAATTCATGGTTCATCGATTTCCCATTAGACGAAAGTGTCCATGGAGTGCCGTAACTGATAGGTATAAAATGATAAGTACTACCTCGTAGCACACTTCACTTTCCCACCCTCCTAATCCTTGGAGGTTGGGAAAGTGAAGTGTGCTACGAGGTAGTTAATCCTAGAAGGTTGGGGAGTATAACAGAAAGTTCCCTCGATAACGCTATACGCTCCGGCGACTTAAAGGTGCCTGTTGACCGGTTGAAATAGTGTTTAGTTCATAAAAAAGGGCGTGGCTGAACGTTGGCGCTCTGGTTATGTACGTTCTCCTTGCGCCAGTTTGTTTTTGCCCGTGAAATTTTTCGTCCCTTCCTTCTCCTTTTGTCTCATCCAGCTGTTCTGAGGATAAATCGTGCCGACTGGTTCGTCTATCTTGAGTACATCTAACACTAGAGTCCTTTGAGATCATCAACATCTTCAAATGGATTTCCCACGCGATCGATGCTTTAGGAACGAGTGGCTTCAATTCCACAGCAGTGCGAAGGTGCACAACATTGTGATTTTTCTTCGTAGTGCTGGTCCCTTTTCAAGGAACGTTGACACTCAGGGTGAGTGCTAACGATCACTGTCGAGCACAAGATCTCCCAAGCATTTTTTGTCCATCGATAACCTTTACGTTTCCTCCTTCCAGGCGTTAGTTCTGAGCCTGCGCCGGGTCCGCTACTCTTGCATGATTTGATGACATGACTTTTGACTCCAATTTCTTCCATCTGCGTCATCTTCTGGGGAAGTTTTGGTTCCAGCGAGATCCTCTTGATCAGGACTCGCTATTTCTTTTATGGAGCTCCTTTTGGTCGCTACCCTAAGCCTCAAACTCCACTGCTCTCTTGTACTCATCTGTGTAGGAGATGCTCGTACACAGATGAGTACAACCGTACCGTACTCGTACGACCACCCTATCTTTTTCGTTTCCGACCTTCTCCAATCTTGCCCAGCGACAGGCTCATCTGAGCACCCACATTTCAGCGAAGTGGAAGTCCTTCGTGACCTTCACATAAGGGCCAACACTGGCAGCCGCAGGGCATCGTGAGCCTCATCACTGTCTAGAACAACGCTCTCATGAATTTCTTGGAGCGCTTTCGGTTGCAAAGGATACCAATATTCATTCACGCCGCATTTATTCGGTCCCTTACCCCTAATCCACATTACTATCGGCGGCTAAAGGTCACCTGCAATCTTGTACCCTCTCGATGACTTATCCTTGCCTTTTTATAGTGTGTCGGCCCTTTACCTAACTCTTTCTTCTCCATTTGAATTTTATATTTCTTCTTTCACTATCATGATTTTGTGACTGTAAAGCAGTACGCGTCAGCGGCGGCGAGGAAGTTAAGCAGCCTGTAAGCCCACTTCGTTCAACTCTCATCGCTGTGGTCTAGGAGCGTCCAGTGACTCTCAAGCCCGACTACAAACCGCTCATTTAACCATCATCGTAACTCAAAATGGGGAATCTTTGGAAAAATTTAGAACATAGATAGGATAACAGGGTCTGAGAACTGAGCAACCAGTTCAGGTCTTACTTCAAACGTCCACTACTCATTTGATATTTTTACTTTGATAGCTCGAACGGCTGCCTTCTTTATAAAGGTATAGAGGGAAATGGAAAAAAGTGCCGGATAAAAAATGGTTCAAAGCTTCCATAGTGTGTGGAAGTACTTCGTTTACTGTTACCATTTGAGAAAGATCTGTAGAACTACTCTGGAGTGTTCCTTTCGGTCAGGACGTAGCAATGTTCGCTTCACAGCTTTATCTAACTGACCTCTCTTTTAAATTGTAATTATCCGACTCCCTATTGTATGAGAAGGGTCGCATGAACCTACAAGGGGACACCACTCACTATTCCTTTTTCAGTTCACGATCCGTCGCGACGAACGTAGACACGCTCTCTCGCTCCTAGTAATAAAGATTTCACTGAACCACCTTTATTGTCTCACTTGTAGAAAAGGTATCGACACAGTCTTCCGCACCCATCCTGGTTACCAACTCGATCTGCATTTGAAAAAAGGTTTGTGATCTGATTGATATGACTGATATTTTACTAATCGTGCCATCAGACATCACATGCAATTAAAGTTAAAGAAAAATCCGTGTCTACACATAGATAACCGAGTGAATGTGCACAGCTCCATCCATTGCAATGGCTCTAATCTCGTTGCTGGGTAGACGCTCATTGAAATCGTGCAGGATAACTCCATTGATTAGTGTCTAGAAAGAAAAGCAACACTAACATTTGCTCTTATAGTTTTTTGAATTTCAATTCTTTTACCTGAATTTTGCCATATTGTCCTACAAATTCGATGGTATAAACCCTCTCCCGATGAAAAGGCATTGACACTCTTTCTTCGTTCTGCCAGTCACCACCAGATGTTGAGTTGAATACAACTGTGTCCTCCTTAAACAGAAGCTACACAAAAACTGTAGAACTATTTTTCTCTCCCAACTGCTGGCCAATTTCTCTTGTTCTGGCTTCACATCAACTTTTTGTGGTTCTATTCTTCTGAAATGATTTTTTAAAATTTCGTTTGCCTTTCGTTTATTCCTTCTTGAAAGTTTTTATAATCAATAATAATTTCATTGTATTTAGTTGTACCCATCTCCGCGTGTACGGGATTGCCTCCTCTTTCATCTCAATTTAGAAATTCATTTTAGGACGAACCTGTGGCCCCAAGTTGAACGTGTAGGACATTGTCGGGTCGAAAAACGGCCTCAACAGGGCTAAACCTTATACGGTTCCGAAACCGGCTTTGCCAACATACACACCCCCAAGTGGCCGTGTGATGGCGGTCCTGTTGAGGCTGCATCATCCACAATGAACTTTCGGGTGCAGACGAATAGAACCCTTAGTGGGGGCACCCAAAGGATCACAGTCACAGGGTCTCGTACACCACCCTTTATTACTACCATTTTCTTCAAGCCCTGCATTCTTTAAAAACTACCGATATCCGCTTTTTCTTCACCATTCTGCACCAACCTGCACCATAATTTCCATTATTACTGAGGCTGAATAGAACCCTTAGTACCTCGAGTCATCATGAAATTTTTTCAGGTGCTTCGAGAAAGATAGTTAACTATCGCGGTGAAATCATTACCAAGAAAGACACTCATTGTCAGAATGCTGATGAGCATGCAAGACTCTGATAGCACATGCATACAACTAACCCCACTCTCCCCCTCTCAGCAAGCAAGAGCAGCTGCTCCTCTTGACCAGAAACAAAATAGGTTCACCACTTACAATTGATAACTAAGATGATCGTTCCGATAGAAGTCCTGTACAATTCGTTACTGTAGCACTTGGATGGAAAACCTCCCTATTTCCAACCTTCTTGAGCCTAATGAGTTCGTTACACTACAGTGGTGTAATGCAGGACCCAACGAAGTAGTCACTGATGTGCGCTCATACAAAGCGATGATAAGAGACAAAGACAGGCAGCAATTTGCATTCATGATGAGCTATGAATTTGATTTTTTACTTTGAATCGGTGTACTTGGGTAAGTATCGATTCGCAATCTAGACTGGGACAGTGGAAGTCCTTATTGTACCTTTACCCTCACATACTTTTCCCTTCTTTTTGGCTTGCCTTTGCTCCTTTTTTTGCCACGTAAAAAGGATAAAGCTGCTGAACCTCCGCCGAGAAAAACCAACTTACATCAAATCGTGGATTGAAGTGCATCGCAGTTTCAGAGTGAGTGCGGAGATTGATCTGAAGTAATCATTAGAATAGAAAAGTTCAAGTTTTTCGACAGTAATCATTCCCTTTTTGGAAGCCACCCTCGTCTTCTCCATCTATTCTAATGCGATCTGATGAATATCTGGCATATGCTTTGACTTTCTAAGGCACTCAGACGAAACACCGGTCGGTCCTATTCCTTCAGTTGCTTAGCTTAGGCAGTAATCGACACGGAATTCGCTAGTCGACATATCCGTGGTAGCGATCCTTTCCCTCCCACCTCCGCTACCAGGAAGCAATGATGTTCACAGAATTTGGCTGAAATGAGTGAGAACTTGCCTCGAATCGATCGCCTGTAGTGAGTGGAACAACCACTACCCGCAACCGTCTCCCATTGTTGAAGTCAGGCACAATAACCTCATTTGGAGTAGTCTGAAGAGAAAATGAAGATCCCCAAAAAACAAATACAGCATTTTACATAGATCGCTTACGACATTGAACGCTTCAACAGAGCTGCTGGTTGCTCCTCCGAACATGCCTTCCTGAATCGACGGAGGGTGAAAATTACTGTACAACCATTTTTAGAAATACGACTCACACCATCGGAAAAAATTCGGACAGGCATGTCACCTTTCAGCATACAATTGCCAATCACGGCACTTTGATTTGGAGTTTGATAAAGGGTAATAACAAAGTCAAATACGGAAACAAAGGAATTATGAAGTATTTGAAAGCAACAATCAATTCAGAGAAGGATAGCAATGAAACAGATTTGTTAAGTCAGATCATACTACATCATTCCTTATCTGAGAAAATAGATTGGTACAAAAAGCCATCGATAATGTTTTTCATGGTGGTGCCCCGTCATTATGAAGTCCTTGAAAGCGATCGATTTGGAAAAAGAAATTCAGCTCACAGTTAGGAATTGCGATTCAGTGAGGTGGCTGAAGTCAATTCATTCGAGGTAACATGAAGAAGCAACGGTTTCTGACTGTAGAATTTGTAAGGTGTCGACTTGACTGGACCCTCAAACTTTCTGTTGAAGCTAGCGATATACACCTACATTTACTTAGGGACATATGTGTAAGAGTAAATCTGTTTCACAAATTGTAGAAGATTGGGAGGGTGGAGCACTTTTCGAATTCTAAAAGACTAATCAGAAGTATTACGCATTGGGACGATTTCCCATAATTGGCTAGTCAGTTCTTTTTCGATTGCTGACTCATCTTGCATTGATGTCATTTTTCAAGAAGCCTACAAAAATGTTAATGGGCGAAGGGGTAAGTCGGGTGGTTTTCTTCAACATCGGTTGGATTCCAACCCAATCCTTCAATCTCTCAAAATGACCAACTCACTGCTGATAATTTCTGAGATTTATGTAGCTTCCATGAACACATTTTTATTTTTTTTTTATTTTTATTTTTTTTATCCCAAACAGATCACTTATTCTCTTTAGAAGTCATCTTAGAGGTGCAGTTCACGAGACTTTTTTAGGTATCTAGCTCAAGTGAAACAATGAAAGTCATAATGTGGAATAATGCCAAAGAAGGCTGAGAAGACGCGGAAATCGGTGGATTTGAAGAGGATATACTAGGCTTCAAAAAATTAGTAAGAAAAAGAGTCGCACGAGATTATGTGCCTGAGATTACGTCGACAAATAGTACGCTCATGTGTGGGACATCTAGGCGGTCGCAGGCACATAATCTCGTGAAAGTATTTTCTCACTAATTTTTTGAAGCCTAGTTATCCTCTTCAATTTCCGATTCCGATCGATTTCCGCGCCTTCTCAGCTTTTATTGGCATTATTTTGCATTATCACTTCCATTGTTGCACTTGAGCTAGATACCTAAAAAAAAGTTCGTGAACTGTCCCTCTAAGATGACTTCTAAAGAGAATAAGTGATCTGTTTGGGAAAAAAAAATAAAAATGCGTTCATGGTAGCTACATAAATCTGTGTCTAGATGTCCCCCACATGAGCGTACTATTTGTCGACGTCCTAAACCTTTATTGTGAATGGTGCAGCCTTAACAACACCGTCATAACACTGCCACTTTTGGGCATGTACATCGCCCTAGCACACTAACAGGTTTTGGAGTCCTTCGACCTAACAATGTCCCCCCAGGCCTTCCTTGTTGGAGGGGGGGAGGGGAACAAGTTCAACCTACTCTCAGGGAATCTCAG